TTTTGTGCTCGCTTAGGAATATGGGTCAACGTCCCGTAAGGACGCTTTGACACCTGTTTCCTACGAACGGTGCGGTCGTTGGTCCAAATTTTGAGTCAAGGAATCTAATCCTTTTAACTCGGGACTGGACCACATGCGATCTCTGAAAAGGCAAGGTTAACGACTACGAGGTCTCAGGGTTTTACAACAAGAGAATATGAGAGATGAAAATTATTAACTTAGTTTATTTAAATCAAACATTATTATCTAATTATTAATAGTAAAGAAAGCAATGAAAATAAGAACGAGTAAAGAACGCATAAAGGGAATTATTACAAACTAGAATTACCATAAAAAAAATCATTATTACCAATTATACAAATCATAATTAAAATTAACTAGAGATGGTAAATACAAACAAAATTATTAAAATATTATAATCAAAATATGCTGCGAACCGAAATTATTATCATAAACGAGATTATTATTTTCAGTCGAATCGTATTTCCATTCAAATCATGGTTACAATTAAATTACAGTCAATGAAAGATTTTGGTTCGCTAGACGCTATTAACATTGTAGTTGTACATGCCGCCAGAGAATGAATCTTAAATGAGCAGTGCTGAGTGAGTTTTTATTACATTATAATTCGCGTATAGTAGATTAGGACGGTGGAAAATGATTGAAGAAGAATTCCACCGGTATTAAATATGGATAGGCGGAATTCGGAATAAAAACAGGAATTTCAGAGTGAAAAGGGATAGCGGCAATTGCACGCCGTATTTCTTGAGGATCGAAATAATGGGGACCTATCGTATAAGTCCCCTCGGGAATAGGATCGGTGGTCCGGGGAAATTGTCTGATAAGCGACTCAAACGAGTCGCTTTCCTGGAGGAAAAAATAGGACCTCGGCGGTGGAGGAGGAATTTCTTCTAAGAATTCCACGCTGTCCGTGGAGTTGGTTGGAGAAGGAGTTCGGCGGAGAGAAAATGGGATCGAGACAATAGAAGAGTCTGGTGTTAATGGAGGAGTATCGGGAAAGATTCGCAAAGTAAGATCTTCGGATACAGCTGGAGAAGCAGGTTCAATGGGAGAAGGCGAACGAGAGGGTGGAGACGGTGAATGGGAAGGTGGAGGTGGTGAACGGGGAGCCGCTACTATCGCGAGCGGCCGATTTGGTGGTTGCGGTGATTCCGCTTGTGCCGGCGCTGCCGGTGGTGGTGTTGATGGACGACTCTCGTTATTTCTTGAATTCGCGGAGCGTTGGAATTCCACGTATGCTTCGTCCAACAACCTTCGCGCTTCCAAATATGCCCTGCTTCTGAGCCAACCTCTAAACGGGCGATTGTTCCCCCTTCGTGACACTATGTTGTGACTTACGTTAGAACAGATTCGCGATTAAAATAGAAGAATATGAAAGAAAAGACTTACTGTTGAGTAGGTTTAAGTTCTCTGGTTAGTCTCCTGGACTTCGAATAGCTCGCAGACAACTCTTACTGGATGTAATGAGGAAGATCTTCTGTTATGCACTTAACAAACTCTTATCTTAGCGAAATAAACTGCGAGAGAATGACTGATGGTTTTAAAACCGAACTC